TTGAAGATTTTGATATGCAATGAATAAAATATTCCCACAAATTGTACAAATAATGTAGTTTATAAAGAAGTCTTTCGAAATTTGTAAAGCAGTGATGTTTTGTACCTTAAAATAATATAATCTCTATATATTCTATTGCATCTCATTTTTTATCATTGAAAAATGATTTGAATTTAATAACATAAAAATGACACGTACAACGCACGGGTGTGATACTAGTATTCTCGATGAAATGTAGTTTTTTTAGATATCAAATATTTATAAAATATATCTATGTATAAATATACATTGTTATAGACAAAATGCAACCTTAGAGATCATGAAAAGTCAAATGGCATGAATATTTTTGGAGGTAGGGAGTAATATTTAAGAAAATTTAGAATTCATGGTTAAAATGGTGGAGAGAAAAGAAAAATATTATAAGCAAGTTAAAGTTTTCTATAAAAAAAAAAGAGAAGACTTTTTTTAAAACGTCTGAAATAAAGAGTCCTTTAGAAAAAAAGGATGAGCCCAATCCCCGAGGGCTTCTTCAGACCGGTCGGACGGTCATTAAGATGAGGTAAATTAGATTTTAATCGCAAATTGGTGGCAAAGAATGGAGCCTGCACTGGGTGCTTGCAGAGGCCCTATGCTTAGTATAGTTGTGTTCCAGCGCAATTAGCAGCAATCAAATTCGGGTCTTACCACATTGACACCCTTTATCTTGCCAATTACGCAACGTCCACCGACATAAAGAGTCTTTTTACACTTGGACCGATGGAGTAATAATAGGAGTTGCGAGCTGTACTGTATCATCCATTAATTAATTAATTACCGGTCACGGTCAGGTCAGAAGAGGCAGGGCACAGTAGCCCTGCTGCTGGCTGCTGGCGGGGCTCCGATCCCTGCATGCGGAAGGCTAATCGATGCATGCCATGCTTGACCGCGTGGTGTACGTACATGCCACGACGCCCTCCCCGGCGCCTCCGCCTTGAAGGGTTGCTGTCCCGGCAAGGCAAGGCTTGAATGAATGAATTATTGAATAAATGCTTCTACTCGCTGCATTGAATAAATTTATATCATTGGTCTATAATACTCAATCTCCTAAAATATAAGCAATTTTAGGAAGGAAGTTTTTTTTCAAATTTTTTAAATCTATTTTATTTAAAAAATTGTCTACAAATAAAACATAAAATTTACATATTTAAAAATTACGTCAAAAATTCTACAAAACAAATGGTGATAAGAATATTTATTTTATCAAATAATCAATGAAAATATAAAAATAAATAAATATTCTTCTGATTTTTAAATAGTGAAGTATTGTTTACATTTTGGGACATATGGAGTAATAAGGAGTTCTTATGTTGGAACACACTTTGTACGTTAAACTAAAGTCGTGTTCATTTCTGACAGGTTTTGATAATTGCCAAACCGCCGTGGATATGAAGAGTTTCGTTGAATAACTCAAGGCGTGAAGAATGGCTTGGAACAAGACCTAAAAGACTCAAGGACAGATCAAGAATTGAAGACTTAGTCGAGTCGGTCTTTTGTGATTAAAACCGATAATCAATTCAAGTCTCGGTTCTCAAAGAGTCAAAATTATTTTACAAAATCATAAAATGTTTTTATGCATCAAAATAAACATTTTAGATAAATCTCTTTATTGTTAAAATCCTTGGTCCTTGCTCAGAACCAAAACCACCTAAGTCGGCGTTCGGCTTTCGGCGTTCGGCTTTCGTCGTTCGATTTTCGGCGTTCGGTTTTTGGCGCCCGAACCAACTCCGTGGTTTTCAATATTTTAAACCCTGTTTTTATCTCTGAGCATATTTTAAAGGTTCCCGAATAATTATTTT